AAATAAAGCTGTGGGCAATTAAATAGTCGTCCGTTTTTTTGTGTGTGTTTTTGTTTTTCGTTTATTTTTTTGTTTGTTTTTTGTTTGTTTCGTTGTTTTTGTATTTTTGTTTTTCTGTTTTGGCATCTGTGTTTTTTGTTTTTATGTTTGTATTTTTTTTGTTAGTTTTTTCAAAATTTAAATTTGTTGGCTTGTGGAATTTTATTAATTGTTCCATTGTCTCTTTTGATTAAGATGTTTTCTATTTACTTCATTCATTTGTTCATTCATTCATTCATTCATTCATTCATTTATTCATTCATTCATTCATTCATTCATTCATTCATTCATTCATTCATTCATTCATTCATTCATTCATTCATTCATTCATTCATTCATTCATTCATCATTCATTCATTCATTCATTCATTCAGTTAAATTAAACTAAATTAAACTGATGTTGAATGGGTGGTTGGATGAAAAAGAATTTAATCAACTCAGAACTTTGTATTGTATTTGTATATCTGTGTACTTTTGTATTTTTGCTCATATTTGATTAAAAGATTTTGTATTTTTGGGAGGGAGAAGGCAGTCCCCAGCAACCGCCCCTTCCATTACACCACTGGCCCTTACTTCTGTGGTAGTTTTTTCTTTCATTCTTTCAGTCAACCGCCTCTTTTTTCATTTCACGCTTGGATACAAACAAAACTTCGGCCTACAATACATACAAACATACATACAAACAAACAAACATACATACAAACATACATACATACAAACATACATACATACACACAAACATACAAACATACATACGTACATACATACACACACAGACACACCACACACACACATACATATATTATCTTTATTGAACTGTGTCGTACCAAGATAACATGCTCAATTAAAGAGTAACAGTGGGAGTGTCGATGTATAAACTTTTCAAAGAGGTGGGACTGACTGTCAGGCAGTTATTAGTAGCGCAGAGCAAGCTTCGTATTGGTTGTTGCTGAAAAGAAATAAAAAAGAGAGTCTTCTAAAGCAGCAAGCCATGGCTGCAGTGGTTCGACTGCGTATGAGAATATTAAAAAGCTGGAGTATGGTATGAGCAATAGATCGACAAGGCTGAAAAATCAACAGTCTTCGAGAAGCGTTTCAGTGATCAACGAACGTGGCCCGGTCCGCCGAGAATGTAAGGAGGTATATTTACATATACATACATACATACATACATACATACATACAAACATACATACATACATACATGCAAATATACATACATATAAACATACAAACAAACATACATACATCATCAACATAACTATCATCATTGTCGTCGTCGCCATCAATAAAACATAAATTCAAAAAAAAAAGAAACGCCGAAAAAAAAATTTTGAAACCGAAGAAAAAAAAATGAAATTATTTTTTTGCCTTTCCATAAAAACCGAATATTTTTCTTTCACTAAAAAATTGAAATAATTTAAAATCAGGCGGGGAGCAATTCGTCAAACGATTTTGCTGAGAAAAAAATAAATTTTGAAGAAAAACAACAACAACAAAAACAACAACAACAACAAAAACAACAACAACATCAACAACAACAAAAACAACAACAGCAACAACAACAATAACAACAACAACAATGACAACAACAACAACAATAGCAACTTGATCTAATTTGTTAAAGTCCCACCAACAAATTAAACCCGACATGCGTTGTTACATCGCATAATGCCATCCGAACTGACCAAGCGACCAGAAAAAAATCATATATGACATGACCCATTTCAAAATCGTGACCTAGATAATTAAAAATGACCCAATTAATGTTACTAACTTGACTAACGTTAAGATGTTTGCCGCCAATTGCAATTTTCTGTTTGGGAGTTGTTTTTACTTAACAGACGCGTGGTTTATGATGGAAGGAGTTACGATATTTTTTTGGAACTTGTTGTTGTAGTAGTAGTGGCGACAGCAGAAGCAGCAAAAGTAGTGGTAGTAGTTGTATTATTATTATTATTAGTAATAGTAGTAGTAGTTGTTGTTGTTGTTGTTGTTGTAGTTGTAGTAGTAGTAGTTGTTATTGTAGTAGTAGTAGTAGTGGTAGTAGTAGTAGTAGTAGTAGTAGTAGTAGTAGTAGTAGAAGTAGTAGTAATAATTATAGTCGACCTGGCAATAGTATTATAGTTTTTCAAACATTTTTTTTATTTTAAAACGATTTAACAACATCAGTGGTGAATGTCTAAAAAATTATGAATAGATAATAAAAATATTTGTTCATTTATTATATTTTATTGATTTTTAATTTAAAAATTCGTGATTTAACAGTTTTTTAATTAATTTATTTTTTTTCATGCCTAACAAGCTAGGATTATATAGATGACTCGCTTTGGAATGCCGTTGGCTGACGATTATATACATACCTATGTATGTGTGTGTATGTATGTATGTATGTATGTATGTATGTATGTATGTATGTATGTATGTATGTATGTATGTATGTATTTATGTACGTATGTATGTATGTATGTATGTATGTATGTATGTATGTATGTATGTATGTATGTATGTATGTATGTATGTATGTATGTATGTATGTATGTATTTATGTACGTATGTATGTATGTATGTACGTATGTATGTATGTACGTATGTATGTATGTACGTATGTATGTATGTACGTATGTATGTATGTACGTATGTATGTATGTATGTATGTATGTACGTATGTATGTATGTACGTATGTATGTATGTACGTATGTATGTATGTATGTATGTATGTATGTATGTATGTATGTACGTATGTATGTATGTATGTATGTATGTATGTATGTATGTATGTATGTATGTATGTATGTATGTATGTATGTATGTCTATATAAGAATTGTTTATATTCTTGCATAAGTATTAGATGAGATTAAATGCATATTTTTATGTGTGTTTGTGTGCGTGTGTGTGTAAACAACAACAACATTAACAAAAGCAGCAACAACATCAACAACAATTTCGATAACATTAACAACAACATCAACAACAATTTCATTCGCATCAACAACAACGTCAACAACAACATCAGCAACAACAACAACAGCAACAACAGCAGCAACAACAACATTTTACAAGACTCGCCATGATTATCTAGCCTTTCGTCGCGCTCCATAAACAAAAAATAAAAACATTAAAAAAAAAACAACAACAAAAATAAGAATAATAAAAAACAAAATTAATAACAGCAATAACAATAATGATAATCGTCGTTATAATAATTATTTATGACGAAATTAAACAACAACAACAACAACAACAATAATAATAATAATAATAATAATAATAATAATAACATAGATGACCCGGAACGTGATACTGTTGGAATTTTTTAAAGTTATGACGATGTTCATTATTATTATTATTATTATTATTATTATTATTATTGTTATTATTATTGTTATTATCATTATTATCATCATCATCATCATCATCACCCTTTCTTAAATGCAATATTCTTTTCGATTCAAATAATGCTAATTTCATAAGAAGCAGTGTACTTCAAAAGAATTACTGATAACGATTATGGCAGCGGTTTTGATGATGATGATGATGATGATGATGATGATGAAGATGATGATGAAGATGATGATGAAGATGATGATGATGAAGATGATGATGATGAAGATGATGATGATGAAGATTATGATGAAGATGATGGTTATAGTGATGATGATAATGACTAGGGTGATGAAGGTGATGGTTATGGTGATGACGACGATGATGATGATGGTGACGACGATCATCATCATCAACAACAACAACAACAACGTGGTCATCATCATCATCATAACTGGGCCCCCTCCTTCCTTCCATCTATCCTTTTTATTTACATGACCGCCGTGCAAGAAAGTATACTTCATTTTCGTCGTCGTCATCGTCATCAGCATCGCCATCGTCATCAGCAGCAGCCACAGCAGCCACAGCAGCGTCATCGCCATCATTATCATCATCGTTATCATCTTCATCGTCTTTATGACCACCATTGAATGATAATGACGAAGTTGCTAGATAACATCGAGAAAAGAGAGAGAGAGAGAGAGAGAGAGAGAGAGAGAGAGAGAGTGAAAGAATGAGAAAGATATATAAATAGAGTATGAAATATTGAGATGGAGAGAAAGAGAAATAAGAACACAAACAAAAATTAATACCTTTAAAATTAGAAAAAAATGGCGGGAAAGGAATGGCGGGAAAGACAAAAAAAAAGAGAGGATGGGAAGGGAGAGAGAGAAAGAAAATAAGTAAGAAACGTAAAATGGGTAATAAAATGAGGAGAAGGAAAAATAAGTGGCAATGACAAAGTAAAGAGAGAGAGAGAGAGGGAGGGAGAGAAGGAGAACAAGAGAAGAAAAAAAGACAGAAAAAGATAAAAAAAAAGAAAGAAAGAAAGAGATAGATAGAGAGTATGTGTAACAAAAACTGGAAGAAAACGAGAAATGGATGGCGAAGTAAAGAGAGATAGAGAGAAGGAGAGATGACACAGATGACCAATGAAATCAATCTTCCAAGGGTGAGAGCCTGAATAAGTAGTGAGGGTCAACACTGGCGATGATGATGATGATGACGGCGACGATGATGATGATGACGGCGACGATGACGAAGACGATAATGATGAAAGTGATGAAGATGACGATAAAGATTATTACGATGATGGTGATGTCATTGTCCATATTAAGTTGGTGTTAGTGTTAATTTTCCGTCATTCGACAGTAATTTGTAACATACGGCAGTGAATTTGATAAATTTCAGATACTTTTGGAAGTTTTATAAAGGAATAAGCTCTGAAAATGCGCATATTAAACGAAGATAAGATATTTTAGTATGGTATTGAAATAATTAATCATAAAATAATTTAACCACTCCTAACTCAGCGCTGCTCAAGTACCTGTCTTGTTTTTAAACATCTCGCTTAACTTTTAAATTTTCTTGTGGCACTTTTTAAAAAATAAATTTTAATGTATAAAAACAGATTGAATCGTAACTTTTTATGAATAATTTTTTTGTTACTCAATCTAAATTATTTTAATTTAAGATAAATAGATGTAAAATGGGTAGAAAACGGAAACTTAACGTACGCGATCTGATTGGTACTAAAAGTCAAATTAGTGAAAATGACGTAAAACTGCAACAAAATGGCGGTAGTAATAATAATTGCCTCCAGAAATCACTAACTGACAGCGCAATAGATAATTTATTCACTTGCAAAACTGCTGCAAAAAATAAAAATGCCATTATTAACGACTATAATTTTGATAATGATGAAAATAAAGTAGATGGCTCACTAATTATTTCATCATCATACTCATCTTCTGCGATATTTAGTAACAGCAAAAATATAACAGCGATACCAGATGGCTCTGCAACTAGTCATTCTGCACTTACAACAATCACAACAGCTAGCATCACTGATCCTATCACAACTACACTAACAACATCAATAAGCACTCCGGATCTTAATTTAACAACTACAGAAAATGCTAACAATGACTCGTTAGTGAACTTAGGTTGTGACAGTTCTATGTCTACACAAGAGCTCCCAAAACAAGAAAAGAAGAGAAAAGGATGTCTTTCCCTGAAGAAAAAGTTTAAAAATGGTGTACCTGCCAGCTTAGCAACTATCGATAATATGTTTTCAACTCCACCGAATAAAAATGCTAGTATTAATAAGTAAGTTTCGTTAGTTCTTTGGTGTCAACATATCAAATACTTATATAGTATATTTTTATGTAATTTTGAAAAAATCATTTTTATTGCTAATTTTATTAAATTTCTTCCTGGCAGGGTTAAAGAAGTTGTGAAACCTGAAGAATATTTGATCCCTGGTCTAGTTAATTTAGGTTTACCTTTGTTTGTGTGTGTGTGTGTGCGTGTGTATGGTATGTATACATGTTTATATGAAATTTATATATGTTTTTATGCCTGTTTGATTGTTTGCTTGTATGTATGTTTGTTTGTATGTTTGGTTAAATGTTTGTTTGTATGTGTGTTTGTATATATTGTATGTTTGTATGTGTGTTTGGTTTGTATGTATGTATAATTTTGCAGGTAACTCATGCTATCTGAACAGTGTTATTCAGGCCCTATACTACATACCTTCATTCAAGACGAATGTCGACAATTTGCATTCTGAAATTGAACGCATTTCCTCCGATGTTGACGTCATTGCTAACGTCTTTGGCATTAATAGAGTGGGTTATTATTACAATTTATTTGTTTATTATTTTTATTAATATTATTATTATTATTATTATTGTTGTTGTTGTTATTATTATTTTATTATTATAAGGCTCCAGTGCTAGCCACAGACCAAAAAAGCTGGAAGTTTGTTAGGAATTTGAAAATGGTTATTATTATTATTATTGTTTGTTATTATGATTATTCTTATTATTACTATTCTTTTTCTTCTTATTATTATTATCGTTATTATTATTATTTCGTATTTAATTCACTTTTAAACAGTTATTTGAGAGGTTGGAACAAGCGCAGATTTTGTCACACCCATCCGTCTGCCCATCTGAACTGCACGGCGCTCTCGAGTTGGTTGACGTCATAATATAATTTTCATAATGTAATATAATTATTATAATATAATATAATTATCATATTGTAATATAGTTATAATATAATATAATTTTTATAATATAACAGAGTTTTGATATAATATAATTATCATAATATAATATAGTTTCAATATAATATAATTTTCACAGTGTAATATAGTTATAATATATTATAATTATCATAATATAATATAATTATCGTAATATAATATAATTATTATGACTTTCAGGTCAATTAATCCGCTGTTCAAGTCAAACATTCAACAAGACTGCCACGAGTTTCTCCAGTTCACACTGGCCCAAATCAGCAGTGCCATACAGCAGCTGAATACCATTAAAAATAATTACTCTAAAATTATGAAAAATTATATTATGGCGAAATTATGTCGCGAAAATATTCGAAAAAATATTATTACCGGCTCTGGTGGTAATCATATTGAGATGGAGTGCAATCGCTGTGTTAAAGTTGATGATGGTGTTCGTTTAATTTCAGCAAGTTGTGGTGTTGATGATAGTAGTTTAGTTACAGCTGATGATGATGATGATGATGGTGGTGGGGGTAGGTTTTTTAAATCTTCAAACGATTGTCGTTTTAATGGTGTTGATGATGATGATGATGATGATAAATGCACTGATGATGATGATGACGATGCCGAATGGAGTAATATGAAGAATAATCATAGTAATAATAATAAAAAGAAGAAGAAGAATAATCATAATAAGAAGAAGAAGAAAAAGACCAAAATAATAACTAGATCTGAAAATAATCATAAAAATGAAATTAATAATAATTATAAATACAACAATAACGTCGCCTTACCGTCCGTCAATCCACTAATTACTGATAAAGGAATAAAATTAGAGCTGAGATCTGTCGCTGCTGATGATGATGGCGTTAATAATAATAATAACAATAATAATATCAATAATAATTATATCAATAATAATTCTAATAATTTTCATAATAATAATAGCGACAAACACAAGTTGATTTGTGGTATTAATTTTAGTGATACGAAAAACTTTGTTAATGAAATGTTCCAAGGAGACTTACTTAGGATAACAAGGTTTATTATTATTATTATTATTATTATTGCTGCTATTTATCCTTCCCATTTCTTATTTTTATTATTATTATTGTTGTTGTTGTTGTTGTTGTTATTATTGTTGTTTTTCTAACCGTTCAGATGCATGGAGTGTGAGGAAGACAAAACCACCAATGAGAAATACATGGATGTGCCGGTTACTATAAACAATAGAAGAAATAATACAAGGAGATGTGGTGATAATTGTGGGGGAAATTATGATGAGGAGGATAACGAAGACGAAGATGTTCATGATGGTAGTGATTTTATAATTTAGTTTTTCATTAAATCATTTCTCTCTCTCTCTCTTTATTTAACTACAATTTACCATTGGTTGGTGGATGATATTTCCTCTCTCTCTCTCTCTCTCTCTCTCTCTCTCTCTCTCTCTACCTCTTTCTTTTTCTCTCTCTCTCCAGTCATAAATTAACCATCTAATGATAATGAATGAGTGATATTTTGCAGACATGTACAGGTCAATAATGAATAGCAGTGAAAAGTTGACGGGCGAGAATAAATTTTACTGTCGGACGTGCGCCCAATTTACGGAGGTAGAGCGCAAAGTCGCCTATTATAAATGTCCCAATGTCCTACTAATTCACATGCACAGATTCACTAATTCGTTTTTCAAGTTAGTGAAGATGGCGTCTGGTGGGAAGATGTTTGTATGTATGTGTGTCTGTCTGGGTGTGTAAAGAGCGAGAGAGAGAGAGAGAGAGGTTGGGTGGGAAAGTTTGTTGATGCATAATTATGTTCTTCTTAATCTTTTATTATTTTGGGTTCATGTCATTTATCTATTTCAATTCAATCGTTCTTTCATTCATTTATTCATTCTTTCGTTCTCTTATTCATTAATTCGTTCACTCACTCACTCTTTCATTCATTCATACATTTTCCCAAACAGCATGTCTGGATATTATTGCAAAGTGATGTCCAACATGAAGATACCTGTCAGCATGCCCTGCCTCGAGATCAACTGCACTAATCCTAATCATCAGTACGTGTGTTTGTCTCTCTCTCCCTCTCTCTTTCTCACTCTCTCTCTTTCTCTCTTTCATTCTTTTTCTCTTTTCCTATTATTCTTATCCTTATTTTCATTCATTCATTTTCAACAACCTATCTTCATCAGTCGATCCAATCTAACGTTGATATACTCTCTCTCTCTCTCTCTCTCTCTCTCTCTCTCTCTCTTTCTCTCTATCTCTCACAGACGACACAATTCCATATTTTCTTTCATCCATTCATTTTTACACTCAGCCATTCAACCCATCAATCCATGACTGCAGATACAGACTGCATGCCATCGTATCTCACAGCGGCTTTTCATTATCATCCGGTCACTATATCACCTACATGAAGATGAGGAAGGATGCTAAGAAGGAGGAGAGCAATCATAATAGTAATAATAATAATAGTAATAATAATAATAATAAAAATGTTAATAATAATAATACTGCTAATAATAATGATGCTGATGATAAAGCCAGTTTAGAAGTACCTCATGATAAGATACCAACTCCATTGTCATCATTGCCATCATCATCGTCGTCAACAACAGCAGTGACATCATCGTCATCTCTGACGTCATCACCATTGGCCTCGTCTGATTGGTTAGAACTAAATGACCACCAAGTTAGGAGGATATCAAAGGACGAAGTTGACAAATTGTTAGGCGCTCAATCTAACTCATCAAATAATCCTTACCTTCTCTTCTTTGTATCTGGCGACATTTAATCTCATATATTATTATTATTTAATTATGATTTTATTATTATTGTTGTTTATTATTTTTATTATTATTATTAAAATGAACAACAAATGGTGTTATGTATTTGTAATATTTAATGCCTTGTTTAATCAGTCATACATTTAACCGTGTATTTCCTGCTAATATTAAACTTATGTGCGTGTGCTTGTGTGTGTGAGAGTTTGTTTGTGTGTGCGTGCGCGTATACGTGTGTGTTTATATGTGATATTTAAATGTTGAATATTTTCTTAAGAGATGAGTTTTAATCTTCCTTGTTGAATAAATTGAAATGAAAGCTTAATCTGATCCGTTGAGTGTGTGCAGGTGAAAGAAAACACACTACTTCTACTACTACTACTACTACTACTACTACTACTACTACTACTACTACTACTACTACTATTACTACTACTGCTACTACTTTCAATTTATAATAATAACAACGGTTTATTTTTTCATATGATTGTGCTGCTACAATATTATAATAATACCTAGGTCTTGACGACTCGGTCGCTTTTTGTACGTGTATGTATGCTTGTCTGTTTGTATGTATATCTATGTACGTACGTGTGTATGTAGGTATGTATGTATGTGTTGTAGACCATAGTTATGTGTAGTCTTTTACTGATTATAGGTCGCAAATTTTATTACATATGACTTATGTGTGACTTAATTGCATACATATGTTCATACATACATATACATATATACACATACATACATATGTACACACATACATTCGTACGTACATACATACATACACACACATATATCTATTCGGTGGTTTTGATCATTGCTATTATGATCGTTGGGTCTTCCTGGTCTGATCCGGCCTATCTACATAATGTTAATTATATTGGATTGAACGTTTTTAAAATTAAAATAATGATAATAAAAATAATAATAAGATAAATATGTATATATTAAATAAATAATCAAATAGTCTTTTGCCTTTGAAAGTAATTTGTATATACGTACGTACATGTTTTATGTGCTTCCGAATCGCAAGTTAATATAGTAAAATAATATAATGTTATATATTTGACTGTTATTGTAATATTAAATGATATTTATATGTGCGTATATAAGTAATTAAATATTTTTAATCCATTTTACGTACGTTCAAGCATGCTGCCATATAAGCAAGGAACACTGCAGGTTATTATTATTCAATTATTCTTTTTATTATTGTTGTTATTATTATAGTTGTATTATATTATAATTATATAGTGTTAGTGTTGTTTGTCGCATTTTAGCATAGGTGATAACTGTGGCATTGATTTTCGGTAACTTTTTCAACGTCTTTGGATCATCATCTGAATACCAATATGTAGAAGGACACA